ACGTGATCTCAATCTGCTTTCTATCTGTTTGCTTATTTGACAAAGTTAATCTTATCATATTCAATGTCATGACAAAGGTAAACCTGCTTCTTGCACATGCTTTCTCTAATAGTTCGTCTGCCCTGAAATTGCTTGGAGTTTCCGGGCACCCCAAATATGGCAGTGTTGCATTTAACCGAGAGTTTTCTCAGACTGCTTCTACATTTTATAGCCATTTTTAATGTGGTACTGTTACACTGCAGAGATCTAATGGCAGCTTGACTATCGGAATCTATTCTGATACTGATATTCCTGCTATTTCATTAATGAGAGCCCGTTTTTTAAGCAAGCTTTGTCGCCGGTGTCATTACTAAAATAAAAAAATAAAACAATACAAGACTAACACATCACCCAAAAAGTTGAGCAGGCCCACAAAGCTAACTTCTGAAGAAGACAGAACTTTACGGTGTCATGACGCAGCTAAAAAAAAGTTTTATTTTCATCTTTGGGTATTAGAAGATGTTACAATACAATTAGAAATTCGCTGAAAAATTCCAGTATGCGTGCAGGCTAAAATTTTTAAAAGACCACAAAACCTGGATAAGCGAGGAGCTCAAACTAGTAATATGGTCTGACAAAACGAAAATGGATCGTATTAATTCAGATGGGCTCATTTGGAGGTGGTCTGATAAGCGATCCGACCCTACCGAAAGGAATATGCGGGTCACACTTAAAAACGGAAGTGGTTTCCTTATGGTGTGGGGTTGTTCTTGAGGCGGAAAGGTGGGAAAACTGCGTCGAATCAACGAAATAATATAAAACTACGGACTATGAAAACATTCTAGAGTAATCACTTATCACTAGTTTTCATATTTTTGGATGCGTACCCGGTGATTTTTTGTACATGCAGGATAATGGTCCTAATCATACCACCCGCATTACAAAATCTTGTTTGCCGAATAACGGAATGCGTGCGATGGAGTAGCCAGCTCAGTCAACTGATATGAATCCCATAAAAAATTTGTGGGCGATAGAAAAAAAAGGTTAATTGCTCACTGAAAAACACCGAAAACCATAGCTGAACTCTGGACTCAAGTCGACCTAGTTTGGAACAGCTTTCCTACAGATATTTTAGATAATTTAATTAATTTAATTAAACCTATGCCTGATCGTATTAGAGCCGACTTAAAAGCCAAAACAGATCCAACAAATTATTAGTTATTGAACTTCAATCGCTACTTTACCTCCAAGATCCAAGAGGTTTTCAATTGAAATAATTGTTCATGTTAAAAAGCTTTTAATAAAATATACATTACTTTTCGTTAAAAAAGTTATTTGGATGTTTATTTTTCTAAAGAGCATCTTGGATACGGTATTCTTTACTATATGGACATTTTTTGAACTCGCTGTAAAAGAGCTGTTTGGTGAATGATGACTTGACTCTATCTTCGTAGCAATGCTGGTAACCTATTTCTTTTGGTGACGTTAATTTGCTGGACCAATTAATAAGTTTTTGAAATATTCTAAATATGTTTGCCTCTCTTGGCGCTTTATTTATTTCGCATTGTTGTCTTCTTAGACTCGTTCGATTTCAAAAAGCTGCAAGTATTCACAAAAAGGGGCGTACAATACCTATACCGATTAAATACGTACGATTGAGCAATAATGTAAGAAGGTTTTTACACAGTTTCCTATATAATGCAATTATCAGGAAAATATTTTAATATAAGTAAGCTCTTTTTAATTTTTTTTTTTATTTTTATTTTAATTTTTTTTTTATTTGAAGACGACCGCAAAAAGAGTTGTTCGAAGATCGAGTTAAATCAAAAAAGTTGCAAAAATAAAGGATGACTAAATGCAATATACATCTTTAAATTTCAAAAGGAAAGAATTGTTACTTAAATTATTACAAAAAAACAACTCTAATTACATTCCATATTTTTAAAATAATTTTACTGAATTTGTAATGATATGCACTGCGAGGCTGATCTTCGAGGTTAAAATCTCCAGAACGAAATTTCGCGAACCATTTCTTTACTGTGCGGAGTGCTGGAGCACGGTCCAAATAAACTTCGCGAATATCTTTAGTTGCAGCGCCTACTGTTTTTCCTTTGCGGAATTCGTATAACATAATATGACGCATATGATCTTTTTCGTTGTCCATCTTCCATGCGTCTTTTCACTAAGCAACTCAAACCAAAATGAAGTTATTTTATGCTTGATTTACAGTTCGGACTGTCACCTTTCCAACGATATATAATATGTATATATTTCTTTCACGAGCGCCACTCTCAAACGATTCGAACGGCATCCAGCGGAATCGGGCACGAACTTAGGCACTCATCCAATAGAAGCTATTTTAAATTTTCCGTTGTTCGCCGTTTTAAATTTCCAAATTTATGCATGAATGGCTTACACAAATATTAGGTCAAGTAAGAAGTTTGTTCGGTTTTTATCTAAGAGATGGCGTTATTGGCCATAGTACTAGTGTTACGTGTCGCATCATGTCATACTATACGGCGCTGAAAATGTGCTTATTCGCGCTAAAAGTTTGTCTTTGACAGTTTTTCGATTGATTGACTCAGTACGTTGTGAGTACTCGCTAAAGATGAACACCAGCAAAGAGAAAATTCGCTATATTTAAACATTTTTCTTCGATCGAGGCGAAAAAGCAGTCGAAAATTGCTATAAAATCATGAAAATAGTGAAAACAGACCGTCGCATGAGCACTTATTTAATTGCTGAGGAACTAAAGATAAGCCAGAAAACCGTTTGGAACCGTTTGCATAACTAACACAAAAAAAATGTTGGATTGAATTCTCATCTGCGTATCGCTGCTGAATTGCAACAAAATCGACCCGTTTCCGAAGCGGATTTTGACTGGCGAAACGCTTAATTTGGCCTCCTACTGCCAACAAATGGTCCGCTTGAAGGCAGCACTCATCATCCAGAAGAGGCCATCTTTGATCAACAGAGGCCGAATTGTGTTCCATCAGGACAGTGCCAGGCCACACACGTCTTTGGTGACGCGCCAGAAACTCCAGGAGCTCGGATGGTAGGCCTTAATGCACCCACCTTATAGTCCGGACTTGGCACCAAATGATTACCATCTTTTCCCGCCCATGACGAACGCGCTTAATGGTGAGAAGTTGGCCTCAAGAGAGGCCTCTGAAAATTGGCTTTCCAAGTTTTTTGCCAATAGCGACGCAGCTTTCTACGAGAGGGGTATAATGAAGTTGGCAACAAGTTTACGAGCAAAACGGCGCATATTTGACTTAAATCCGACAAACGTACACAAAATTAAATTAATTTGAAAAATCAATAAAAGAAACCGAGCGAACTTTTTATTTGACCTCAATACGAAGATTTTTAGTACCTTTGTGAACTTTGTTATAATTTTCGAGGATGCAAAACCTAACAAAATTATACTATTTTTAATTTGCTGGAGGGAAACGAAATACGTCAATTGATTTCTTTTTTCCTATTATCAGTATGGAAATTGATAATAAAGGGTTAACGTACACTCGTATAGCGTAAATGTAAATGAATTAGTAACAAATTTCATATGTAAAGGTAAAATTTTAAAATTTAATTTCAAGAGCAGTCTCACAAGTCTGGAAAACTAATTATTTTACAATAATTTAACAAAAATCTTAAATTTAAATATTTTTGTATTTTCCCCTTTCAACCAAATGTTGCTCATACGACATGCCGAACCTTGGATTCTTACTATACGAATTCTTATATTTAACTCTAAGAACAAATAGGATATATTCTATGTACGATTTCGATTAGTACTCATTAGAATGAAATCAATACAAGTTTTTTTAGTACAGTATATTCCAAAAGTTTTTATGAAACGATGCTTCTCGCTTAGCTGGGGTTAGCACAGTCTCGCCAATGTTTTCCTAAAGTAATAATGCGCTGTTTTTGATAATTACAACAAATTTATTTATAAACATAATATATGGAAATGCACCATATTCAACTTTCTACTCAACTTTGAGATATGTCTTACATAGATAGTGGAGGTGGTAACCCGGTACATATATTCTCTTCAGTGAGGTGCAAACTATCCTTGATTTTTGGGGTCATTTTAACTGTTTTTGTAATTTAATCGATATTGAGAGATGCACGGCAAAAGCGGACAAATTTCTGGTATTCAAACCAATTCTATATTTGTGTGGGGCGGTGTAATTTCGACCAAAATAGTATTCAGAATTCCGTATTCGTAAATCGCATTTCAAAAGAGCTGGTTGTTAAGAAAACTTAGGCAATTAAATAAATAAAGGGTGATATTTAGCTAATATCTTTTTGGCAATACTGGTCGAAAAATCTGACGAACGTTTCGTGTTTTGTATCACTGTCTAACATCTTCAGTTTGGCCTATAATTTAACCATGAATCGTCTTACAAACGAACAATGCCTGCAAATTATTGAACTTTATTATCAAAATGCGTGCTCTGTTAAGAAAGTTCATCGCGCGTTTCTCCTAACTCAAGCTCATTTTTGGCCTAATGGAAGCGTAAATGAGCAGAATTGTCGATTTTGGAGTGAAGATCAGGCAGAAGCATTGCAAGAGCTACCAATGTATCCAGAAAACGTCACAGTGAGCTACCGTAAGATGATATCAACATGATATCGTGCGATTTAACGCCTTTAGACTATTTTTTTTGTGTGGCAATATTTATTCGTGAGATCCCGGCCGAAATGTTGGAAAGAGTATGCAAAAATTGGACTAAGCGGATGGACCATTTGGGACGCAGTCGCGGTCAATATTTGTATGAAATAATCTTCTAACATTAATTTATATGGACCGTACTATCGGTTCAAATAAAGATTTCATACATTTTTCTGAATTTCATTTGTTTTTATTTTTTTATTTTTGTATTTCAAAGGCACACGCTTGCCTAAGTAAACAGCGCATGATGAAGGTGATGTAACCTAAAGTCAGATGGAATAATTTTCTTTCAACACAAAAATCATTTAAATAATTAAAATCTCAGGCATATGTCACTTACCTGCTGAAAATAACGGCAGCACATTGAGGATAATGATGAGCGAGAGTAGAGCGCGTGAGTATGCCTGTAGATCAGCCAGGGTGTAGAGCAGTTTTGAACGCACTGCCGCCAAGAAAGTGGAGCACATTGCTGTAGATGTTGTTGCAGCGATTGCAATGTAATCATTATTAAAGCCAACAGCACTTGTTGCTTTGCTGCTGCCAATATGGAGTATGTCAGCAACAGTATCAAGAGCGTTGTAAGAGGAAATGCTGTTGTTGTTGTTGTATACTTTTTTAGTGTGAAAAATATTTCGTTGTTCGGGCATTTCATTAACTGCTTCCGTAGATTGTAAAAGCAGCGATCTGGTTGGTTTACCGGCTGCTCTTTGAGGTTGTTGTCGAAGTAGCTGAGATGTTGCTGGGACAGCGAATGAGCAGGGATTTTCCGAAAGAAAGAGTTGTCGTGAAAATTGCAGTTTGAAATCTTTTGATTCAGCTTGTTTGCCTCGCTGCATTGGTTCGTTTTGCTGTTCGTTAGCATTTCTGGAAGATTGGCGTGTGCATGACGAAGGTTGGACAACAGGTGGCTTGTCCAAGCAATCACAGTCACCAGCTTCTTGACTAGCGGCTGCAACAACAGCAATACATTTGCGTTTTTCTTTCGTTTCGTTTGATTGGCAGCTTTTGGTTTTGTAGTAGTTGCTGTTGTTGTTACCCGTGGAAGTAGTTGATTGAGCCCACTGTTGATCGCAAATCTCTGTAGACATTTTGCCTGAGCCCTCGGTAACGCCGACATCAAAGTCAGCAATGTCATGACATATTTGTTCTTGTCGGCACTTTTCCGGCTGCTGCCACTCGCTGTCGCCGTCGACATTAGATATCGCTGCACTTGACATGCCTGCAATGATGCCTTCACACGGCAACACCGCACCACTGCTCTCCGAATGCCATCTCCTTTGTTGCTCTTCTTGTTGTTGCTGTTGTTGGCGTTGTTTATGTAGCTCTTCCAGTATAGCACTTTCACTTTTACTTCTTCCCCGACGTCTACAATCCACACTGTGGTACTTACAGACGACATCATCTGCTTCTTGCTGACAACATTTCTGATTTGGCCACACCAATGGTGGCGGTTGGCTTGAACTTGGCCGCTTCGGAGCCGTTGCTTGTTTCCATGACGATGTGGTGGCAAAAAACGTGCAGTCGACTTTGTTGGCAATATTCGCTTGCAATGTTGAAAAATTTGACGAGCCTTGTTGTTGTATTTGTATTTGTAGTAGGATATCGTCTGTCGGCTGATGAACCTTTTTCGCTGTACCGTTAAACAGTCGTTTTGTGTCAGATTTAACAGCGAGGAGCGTGTTTGGCAGACGTTGTGTCGAAAGGTGTGTGGCTGTGACTGTGGCTGTGACTGTGGCTGTGTCTGTGTCTGTGCTTGTTGTTCCGTTGTAAGCTGTAGCTGACGGCTGGTCTGTAAATTGTTTCCGCTCGTTAGTAACGCAGCAAGCCTCTGGTGTGCCGGAAGTGTATCGCACGAAACATTTTTCATCAATTGTTGCTGTTGTTGTTGAAAATGTTTGTGTTGGCTTTTCAGTTGCTGATTTTCTAGTGCTGTTATGTTTGTATTGCAATATATGTGCAGAGGCCATGTTGTGCCCTATTTAGCCGGGAAAGAAAAAGGAGAAAGAGAAGCGAGAAAGTAGATGAGACATGATGTTGAAGCGTCAATAAGTACAATAAATGAATTAAAAACGAATCGAAAGAGACTCACTTAAATAAAAATTACTCATCAAAATTGTAGAATAACATCAAAATGCTCTCTAACTTTTCTACAAAAACATATCTTTCAAATAAATAGCGGAAATATTAGTTCAAGATTCATCCATACCAAAAAATTTAGTCTTTGTAGGAGATTCTTACGTAGAACATTGCCCTTTAATCGTTTAAAACTAAAATGGGCTTACATTTCAACATAGCACACTTACTTTGCCAACTCCACGCCTACATTCTACGGTGATATAATTTTTATACGCGGATATCCTCGGGGCTCTAGAGCCTTACGACCTGTCACCCTGAAGTTATAAAAGCTTTTCCTTTCAAATTTTACTTTCTTGTCGGTAACTGGAAAGTTTATCATGACGTCTGGCTATTAATTGAAAATGTATAAATCTTGCACTTGAAATTTAACTTGCTAAAAACGGATCTAAACAGTATAGTTGAATCTCTCTCTGAATCTTCAAATACGTAGAGGTACGGCCTTCTGCCGGTAAAACGTGCCGACAGCCACTTATACTGTAGATAACTATAATCTAGAGCAAGTTACTCGTTGATTTGGGTATTAATAAGGGCCCCTAACTGAAGTGAACTTCACATTTATAAGACGAACCCAGCGCTACCCACCTCGAGGAGCGCACCAAAAAGATAACCGAAAAACCCAAGGGACCGGTGACCGAAAACGAGTTTCAGTCCGGACTGCCGTGAGCCCGAAGGTAGCAGTTACACTTGCCTCTTATACTTCCTTCTTAAACTGAAGAGCGCATTACAGTTTAAATATCTTGACGCTTTTGTACGAATTCCATTTTTATCATTACACAATTGACAGTGAGTACTCCATACAACTAAGCCATATTTCAAGCGATGTAAAGTGAAATTTGGAAGATCATTGATGAATATAAGGAAGAGTAAGGGGCCGAGATAATTGCTTTAAGAATCTGCTATTTCACATGATGTAAACCGTTTAAAATTCTTTTTTCTATTAATCAAGTCCGATAAAATCCAATTCAGAGCAAACCCAAACAGATTGAGAGATCTTGCCAAATGCTTTGCTTAGGTCAGTGTTGATAACATCAGTTTGATGTCCATTTCTGAAACCATTACTGACATGGGTAGCGAGTTCTATCAGGATCGATAAGCTTATTGATATGATACAAATGTTTCAAAAACTTAGGAAATTGAATAGTATACAGATGTAAACTAAAGACTCTTTCCTGAAGAAAGTGCAATAAATTTGTTTGAAATTTGAGAGTCCCCGTCCCCTGATTTTGGTTAAAAAAATTTCAAAAGGCAGCTTCACGAGCACACCTATCTCACGCACGCACACAGGCAAGGCAAACTTTCAAAAAACTTTGAAAGCATTTTTCTCGAAATCATGTTTTCCGATCTAACTTTAAGCTACGGGCTTGATCTATCCGACGATTTCTTTCAACTTCAAACTGTTTCAAAATATATAGTTTTTTGTATGTCTTAAACCTAAGATTTGCATTAATAATTAATAGTTTTTATTTTGTAACGTAATTGAAGTGAAAAAATGGAGCAAAAATTTTAACTTTATAATTGCAATGAGTATTATGCAACAAATTTATGGTTAAAATGCGCCGTATTTGTCGTACAGACGTCATTTTGAATTTTGAATTTCGACTATTTTTTTCGTTTTAAAGTCTCAAATAATAAACAAATTTAATACTCAAAATCAAAAATTCGTACGCCTTTTCAGTCTCCCACAAAAAAATCAAACTTTACCTGATTTTTGTCCAATATCTCTCCCCTTAATGAAGCATTGAATATGTGTGTCAATGGTATCATATATATAGAAATTGAGCGCGAAATTTTACTACGATAGGTGGCCCACATGCAAATGAGCTTCTAAGGGCATGTTGATGGTGATAAAAAACATTAGCGAAAATATAAGAAGCCTTTCTGCAAACAAAAGAAGTCAATAAGTAATGAAAGCCAAAAGTACATTGGCGGTCAAAGGAATTTAAGGATCCTCATAATACTGAAACTTTCTTCATAACTTTAATAAAACCGATGCATGGAATCTAGCCTATTCGAATATCAAAAATAATTTTGAAAACAGAAGCCGCATTGTTAGTGCCCTGATTTCAACTCTTACATTTAATATATCTGACTCCCTCTTTCATTAAAAAAAGCAATTTTATCTTCTATAAACTAATTATTAGAAGCATTGTTGTATTAAGTTAAAATCAGCTGGTGATTGTTCTTCAGCTGAATTTTTCAATTGTCGACACTTAATAAACACCTACTCTTCGTCTCTAGGTGATAATCTAAATAAATAAAAAAAAAAAGCTTCAGTACGTCATAGCACTCTCGTATGGATGGGTGGGAAGTGGGAATCTAAAATAGTAATAATTGGCATAACTTCAACCCCGCTAAGCTGCATCAGCAATACGAATATCATAATATCAGATTACTTTCCTACTTAAATTAATTGAAATTGTGAAAAGTATATTTCGAAAATGCCCATTTACAGACGCTTCCACGTGACAACCTCTTGCTTGACCTTAGAGTCAATGGAAACGTTAAGATAAAAACTTTTATTTAACGGTGAAGGAGCACTCTCTCTCGGCGGCTGCTATATCCGAGTGGTTAGCATTGCATACAGCCATTCGGAAGGCCAGAGTACGAGTCGTTGTTCGACATCCAGAAAATTATGGATTCATAATTTAAATAAAAAAATTAAGTTAATTATTTGAATTGTGGTTTTTATGATATGAAATAAAAACTCCTCGTAATAATCCATCGGCCGTTCGGAAGCGGCTTAGTATAAACTGTAGGTTCCTCCATTTTATTAGAAAAACACAATGTCACAAATTGGGGGATATGTATATATGAACTCTCCGGAAATCGCATTTCAGAGATGCACAATTTTGATATAAAAATCAACAAAGTTCTGCCGAAATCAGCATATCTCCAGAGAGGCGATAATATTAAAATAATCAAATTTCCGCGGTCTGTTCTAGTAATTTGAGCTGTGAACTGGCAAGAGGACTTCACCAGAATATATAATAAGGACTTACCGTCACTATTCCATTAGAATGAAAACGTATACAATACAAGATACCCGTATCATTCTACCCCATTTATTTCCCAATTCGATCTTTAACACAACTTTAAAATCGATTTTTCAATTATTTACCAACAGCTATCCCAAAACTACCTTTAGGATTTTTTGTTCACCCTTTAATGCGTCTGATGGCATAGTTGACATTACACGCTCTGTTGAAATTTCCTCTGAGGCAATGAATAAATGAAGTAAAATGTTACGTTGGTTACAATACCCAAATCGAATTTTCAATTTGTAGGCTCAACAGTTTTTATACGATTTCTTTTTTTATTTTTACTTCATTATTGAAGTTTATTTTTGCGTTTTCCGTTTTACTCTCTGCACACAGATTTGCGTGCATATGCATGAGTGACTGAAGGGCATTTATTGCTTGACTTTTGAAAACAGAGATACTTTTTTAAGGTTTATTTCACTTTGAAGAGGGAAACTACTCACAAGCTACAGGTACAGCAGGGCGTATGAGCAACGTTACAAGCAACTACTAAACTTTAAGCTACGTCGAAATGGATAAAAACTAGACAAACTTACAACAGTTATGTATTTATATGTGTTATAAATGTCAACTATTCACATTTCAGTTATATTTATGTGTTCATCCTAAAGGAATACCCAATAATTCCCACTGAACGGTAATATTAAAGTCAGAAGTAAAATCAGCGTCCACAAAAATTAGTTTAAAAAATGCTATATCCAAATTTGGTATCCCCACGAAACTAAAGCAACACCAAAAGCTTCGTCAGGAACGGGAAGGACCTCTCCGAGCTAATCGACATCAAACGAGGTTTCAGACAGGGTGATTCCTTACCTTGTGACTTCTTTAATTTGTTGCTACCGTGAAAATAATAAGAGCTGCAGAGCTAAATAGAGAAAATATAATCTTCTATAAGAGTAGCCTCATCAACTGCGCTGTTAGTTCTGATTTCTTCAGATTGAATAAGGAAAAAAAGGATATGGGACTTTTAGTGAATGTGGACAAGACGAAATATCGTGTGTCATCAAACAAACAGTCATCGCATTCGCAACTCGGTTCCCACGTCACAGTTGACAGTCAAAACTTTGAACCAGTTTGAACACCAGCAGCAATGCCTGCCTGAAAATGCAGCGCAAATCACATTCACCAACAGTTGCTACTTTTTACTGAGTAGACAATTGGAAAGTAATGATCTCTCGAGCCGTACGTAGACCAAACTCTATAAGTCACTTCTCGTTCTCATCCCGCTATGTGATGCGGACCCATGGACTATGGCATTTCGATAGAAAGGTTTTGCGTAAGATTTCTAGTCCTCTACGAACGGCGAATACCGCAGTCCATGAAATGATGAGCTGTATGAGACATAATGTCCGGATGGATACGAATACTCCAGCTTTGAAAATTTTCGATGCAGTACCCACCTGTGGAAGCAGAGAGGGAGGAAGACCTCCACTCCGTTGAAAAGACCAGATATAGAAGGATCTGGCGAAAAAACGAAATAAAAAGCGCAATGCTATTTATTAATGCTATGCGCCTATAATTTCGTAAACGGTGTCTACGGCAATGAAGGAAAGAAAAATTCAAACAAACCGGACCATAAATACGAATTTTCCGAATCGATCAGTCAGGTTCACTACTCGAAAAGTAAAGGAAATCAAGCAAATTAGAGCATAAATGAGCCTTTGTTAATCCATTTATAGCTTCCGACAAATTTCCTGTATTAAATGCGAGCAGTTGGAAAGAGAGAGAGAGAAAAAGACTTTCTTTGGAATTCAATTTTTTGAACAAGTAACAACTCTTGCAAGAATATGCCAACTTCACG